AGGCCTCCGTGTTCAACTGTCCCCCTCTTACAATGCTGTGATTGCTAGTATCACTCAGCCCTCTGTGAACAGTAAACAGCCATCAGTGTGCTAATGATCCATTGTTAGGCTGATGGTCCTTCTTGACCATGTGATCAGCTGGTTCTGGTTGTCAGCAGCAAACTGGTTGATCCACTCTGAGAAGGTGCTATTTAAGAGACTGAGCTGAATACAGCACCTCAGACTGAAGAAGTCTCTCGGATGAGAGACGAAACGTTTCTACATTTTTTTGTTGATTTGCTTTGTTTTGTTTTTTCTTGAATGTCCAGAGGACCAGATTGAACTTTTTTAGATATTTGGACTGATGTGACTTATAGGGCGGCGCGACGTGTACGGCAAACGATATGGTAATAATTTTTGGTTCTACTCAGATAAAAATCCAGATTTATGTCTGACAGCACAAAAACTCCTCTGATGATGTCTCGTCTCTTCTGAGATGATAAAAATAGTCTCTTACCATACGGATACTGAAGAATGGACAGAGCTCCGTTGCTGTATTCATCATGGGAGAACTTGTCATTGCTCAGACACTTGTCAAATTCATCGGAGCCAACCAGAGCTGGAGTTCGAGATGGAGAATCTGCATCAACAAGATGAAGACGTTCTTCAGAAATCAATACAGAAAACATTCTTGGTCATTTTTACATATAAGGAAGTAAAAAGGCTTTTGGGGCTTCAGGAACTCAGAGGTTCTTGATATCCATTTAAGGTAACATGCTTGTTCAAAAATGTACCTTTAAGTTTAAAACTACAATAATAAAAATGTCTTTGGTTAATTTAACCTTTTATCAATCATACAGTTCCCTTAGTGATTAAACATTCCTTCAATCTGTGTGAAGACGTACGTATCAAAGGCTTCCACTTGACGGTGGGTAGAAAAATGATCTCTTTCTGTGAGCCAATGGCTATGGAGGGGAACTTCTCAGTGATTCTCACTGACGACTGGAGGTAGAGCTGCCCCTGGAACATTCCTAACAGAAAACAACGACAAAACTCATTCACTGCACAAATTTATCAGCACAGCAACAAAAAGTCCCAAACAGAAAATCATGGCTCAGTAGTGAAAAATGCATTTGAAGGGATTTATAGAAAAAGTCACCAAGGTAGACACTGGACTCTGCAGCACCCCGAGCCTTCACAGGATCATCATCTTTCTCCTCTTCAGCTTCAGGCTGGTTGCTGTAGGTCGTATCATCAAACAGACTGATCGGCGTCACTTTCCCACCAACCACCAGCCAGGCAGAAGCAATAGGTGTGCAAAACTATTGAGCAAAACACAACACAAAATTAGAAGAAATAAGGGTGATGGGCCACCATAAGAGTTAGCAATCTGTTTACACAGACATGTTGGACATCCCTCTTGTTACAGGAGGGGAGGACGAGGTGACGGCAGAGACTGGACAACTCCAAGCATGTAATTGTAGGTACAAAGTCACAGACTTGCTTTTAAAACAAGGATTAACACCAGACATTTCACAAAATATGTACCATCCATCCATCTTTACCCGCTTCTTCCATTTCAGGTCGTGGGGGTCACTGGTGTCCATGTCCAGCTATCACTATGCGAGAGGCGCTGGACACACTGGACAGGTCTCCAGTCCATCACAGGGACACAGAGTAGAGCTGTCATTTCTAAAATGAACCCGGAGCCCAATCAGTCTAACGTGAATGTTTTTGGTCTGTGGGAGGAAACCAAAGTACCTGGATACCATGCAGCACACAGAGAACATCCAAACTCCATCCAGAGAGGCCCCAACTGGGATTTGAACCAGCAACCTTCTCGCTGAGAGGCAACAGCCCTACTAACTGAGCCACCATACCGCCCAGATATGTACCAGTTCTGGGCAGGCAGGTCTGTGATTTATTAACAACAACATGCAACTTTGTTGCGTTGACAACCACGTAAGGAAATACAAAGTTTGTTTTCTCAGTCATCCAGGTATATAACAACAAAAAAAGGTTGAATCATGTCATCTGGACTTCGTTTTTTGTTAAAAAGAAACGTTTCGCCCCTCATCCAAGAGGCTTCGTCAGTCTGAGGCCTAGCCATCTGGTATTACCCAGAAGCCACCCTGACTCTTGTGTTTCAAGCCTGCCTCAGATACCCCTGAAGTCTGGCCTTTTCACTAATGGTTTCAAAAACACAAAGTTTGTTTTCTCAGTCATCCAGGTATATAACAACAAAAAA